TCCGGGTCCTCATTTTACCCACCTCGGAAGGATGGAAGGCTGAGTCAACCCTGAGCCGGTGAGATTTGTACAGCCGAACTGCAGAACTGCAGTCAGCTGAAGTAGCCTGCAGTGCTGCACTCTAACCACTGCGCCACCTCGGCTCTATGAGAACCCCACCATGCCTAGATATCCTAGGCAGCATTGCAAACACGAGCGCACACTTGTTTTTGAAAAGAGTAACGGCTACCAATTTTAGGGCGGCTAAACAAGAGCAGGTTCAAGACTTTGGACCCTTCATTTTGCAATTTTTTTTTTTTTTAAAAGCCTCCTTTAGGTTGTCTGTTTTAAGTTTTGATTTTTCTCTCTGCCTTTTTTTTTGTCGTTTTGTCATTTTCAAGTGAGCACTTTGGTTGTCCTGGGCAGCTAGAATAAAATATCCCCTCTTAACTTTCAGAGGCGTCTTCCTTTCACTAATTCAGAAGCACTTTCCTTCAACCAAACGAAAAAGAGAAAGAGGAAGTAACAATAAAAGAAAACGTAAGATCCTTCTTATCCTCACTCCCCCCCCTCTTCCCCCTTTAAACAAAACCCTGATATCTCAGACCTTCTGTGGGGGGGGGCCCTTGCAGCTTGTATCCTGTTCTCTCCCTCCTCATTCCTGTCCCCGTTTTCCCATTCCTCCATTTTGCTCTTCCAAACTCCTTTTTCTTTCCACTGTTTATAATTTCTAGCTGTTTCATCCATTCGCGGCCGGGGCTTGTTCTAGGTCTCCTGTGCTTTTCACATTCACGCAATTTCTGGTACGGTTTTCCCGTCTAATCCTGGCCTGCGGTGTCCCTTCCTCCTTCTTCACTGAGGGGTGAAGAACCTGTCGTGTTCCCAAAGTTTCTCATTAATGGGTAGTCCTTGATGCAGTTTTTTTCTCAACATCAGGGGTGTCAAACTCAAATTTCATTGAGGGCCTCACCCGAGGTTGTGTTTGACCTCGGAGGGCCGGGTGGGCGTGGGCGTGGCCAGCTCGACGGAGGCCGTCCCTGCTGAAAACGGGGCGTGGGGGAGGCTGCCCAAATTGAGTTTGACAAAAACTCTGTTTTTGCTGGCAAAGGCACCATAGACCTTTGCTGTTTCTAGATGTAAGCACCCCATGGGCCTTGAGTTTGACACCCCTGCTCAATGTGAACCACGGGAGTGGACTTCAATTCCCATAATTCTTCAGTCAGTGTGCTGACCTTGGGAATTCTGGGAGTCGAAGTCCCACCAGTCTTAAAAGTTGCTCAGGTTGAGAAACGCCGATCTGCATGGAATTGGTCTTTCAACGCTTCTTCTTCCATCCTGTTTCCCCCCCCCCCCTCTTTCCCTCCAGTGAAGCAGAGAGTTCGAGGCCTTAACAAAGTGATGAGAACCGCCCACGACCACTACAACAACAGCAGCAGCAGCGACATCATTAAGATCAGCTCCGAGAGCAGCACCGAATCTGAGCCGGGTTTGGAGAGCGATTTCAATTCCTCTCCGGAGTCCCTCGTGGAAATGGAGGACATGGCCAGCAGATACAAGCCCATCAATGGTGCCATGTGTAACGAACCACGTAAGTGTTCAGACCCAGATCCCAAACACGGCAAGCCCTTTATAGTTAATGAAACGTTCCTTTTATTAGGAGTGCCAGCAGCCACTTTTCTCGCACAACAGGCTACGAAGTCTCCACGTCCTGTGGAAAGTGGCTCTCGCTCCCTTTCCCCCTGGACTGGCCCAACACACCAGGAATCTCTTTATCTCTCTTCCCATACTTGCAAAGGAAGTACTGGAGGATGTGCTCACTTTCTTCCGACAGACAGACAGACACACACACACACACACACACACACACCCCGCTACAGATTCCAAGACGAATTCTGATAATTTCCAGACAGGAGTCAGAAGTGCAGGCTATCAGTGGCTAACTTCAGGGATATGAATAGTTGTCTGCCACACCTATTCATCTCCACTCCCTGCCTTTCATCCCCAGAGCTAAGGTTCTATATATCTATATCTATATCTATATCTATATCATCTATATCTATATCTATATCTATCTATATCTCCCTCTCCCTCTCCCTCTCTCTCCCTCCCTACACACACACACACACACACACACACACACACACACATATTCTAATATATATTATTCTTAATTCCAATATTCTATTCTGTTCTGTTCTGTTCTATTCTTATTCCTATTCCTATTCCCTATTTCTTTCTATTCCATTCCATTCTCATTCTAATTCTATTCTATTCTATTCTATTCCTATTCCTTTTTATTCTATTCTCTATTCTCTATTCCTATTCCTATTCTGTTCTCATTCCTATTCCCATTCCCATTCCATCCTATCCTACCCTGTTCTTGTTCTTATTCTATTCTATTCTATTCTCTATTTTCTATTCCTATTCCCTATTCCTTTCTATTCCAAGGTGGCGCAGTGGTTAAATGCAGCACTGCAGGCTACTGCTAGATCAGCAGGTC